TCCATTCAAATGGCCTCAGAGCTTACAGGGTATGTGACCCAGGACAAGTCACTTCATCCTGTTTCAGTTTCCTCATCTGTAAAGTGAACTGGAGAAGGACATGGCAAATCACTCCAGTGTCTCTGCCGAGAAAACCTCCAAAGGGGTCACTCAGAGTTGGACAGGACTGAAAAATGCCTGAACAATAACAACTAGCTGGTATTGGATACAAATCCTATTTTGTTAAGGAGTTGTTGTTGTTATTGTTGTTTGTCCTTTTTTCTCAAAGAGGACAATGACATTAGGGAGGCAGTGCTAAGACATGCAAGTGAATTGGATTTAAGTGAGGGAGGGCTGTGCAAAGTCACCAGCCTCACATTCTCCTCTGAAGCCATCTAGGTCCGGTAGCAAGATACAGATCAGGGCCACTAGAGACGGTGCTGGGTGCCCTGGGAGAGTTTGGCCTTTTTAAGCTAAGGTCTCTCTGGGTCTCAATTTGACTGAGGCAACCAACATTCATTCAGTGAATAAGGCTAGGTAAGAAATGAGGCAGAAAATGTCCTCTCTTACCTAGTCAAAAAAAAGAAAAAAAATCAACTGGGAGGGATTGATTTCTGGCTGAAACAGGGTTTCTGGCTGAAACAGAAACAATTGCTATTTACATTTACTCTGAGTCAATCAGGGCCCAATGATGACCAGGTGGGACTTGGCCTAGGAGTAGACCAGTTTGGAATGAATAAATTACTCTGTTTAAGGGCTCCTTGAGGGTGGGGGCTGTTTTCGCCTTCCTCTGTATGCATGGAGCTCAGTGCCTAATATTTTGATTGATCCAAGAGATAACAGATAATGCCATTGCAGCTCTCTGAACACTAGGACATTTTTACAAATAGTGGTAGGGAGTAGTGACTACACATCCTATCTACCCACCCATTGTTATTCCCAGCACACTGCCTCTCATAGGATAGAAAGTAAATTTGAAGGTTAAGACAACAGGACATCTCTCAGTGAGGTTGATTCATATACTAATATACTGCTGCTACTACTGATACCAACAATAGTTAACATTTATCTAGTGTTTTAATGTTTGCAGAATGCTACTCAAACGATCCCACTTTATCTTCATAACAACTTTGTGAGAGAGGTGCTCTTATTATTTACTTTAAGCACAATGGATAGAGTGCCAGGTCTGGAGTCAGGAAGACTCATCCTCATGAATTCAAATCTGTCATCAGGCACTTAAAAAGTTGTGTGACCTCAGGCAAGTCCCTTAAGCCTGTTTGCCTCAGTTTCCTCATATGTAAAATTAGCAGGAGAAGAAAATGGGAAATCACTCTAGTATCTTTGTCAAGAAAACCCCAAATGGGGTACAAAGAATCAGACATGACTGAAAAATGACTCTATATAGATAAGGAAACAACCTAACAGGTTAAGTGACTTGCTGAGGGTCGCACAGCTAGAAGGTATCTGAAGAGGGATTCAAATCTGTATCATCTTAGTGCCAAAGCTTACAATGATTTAAGCAAAAAAAGAACAAAAACAAAACAAACAAACAAACAACAACAAACCCCCCAAAAAACCATTCAGTATGCTTGCTGTTAAGATAAAGTCTGTGTTTGATTAAGGCATACAGAACAGCTGGGATGGTGATACATAAAGGTAAAAGAAGTCTGGACAAGTTGGGGTGAGTGGGGAACATTTAGTTTAAACATTAGAGAAAATTGAGAGAACACTATCCATGGGAAGTTATGGGATTTTAAGCTTCCTAAAACCAAGACCAAATACCTAGTGCTTACTTGAAATGTTAGTGACTACTATAATTTTTGAGAAGTAAATTAATCATAACGTGATTCAGAGTCAAGGTCAAGGTGACTGTTTAAGTGTCCAGTGTCTCAGAGTGATAAGAATTCTTAGATGTGACTGTTATGGAAGATAACAAAATGAATTTAAGAAAGCTTATTTATATCATTAAGAATATATAAAATTAAGCCAAAATCATTCTTGCTTTGAAATGGGGATAAGGAAGATTGCGATTATACTATCCTAGCCTACTTTGATCCCAAGTCCAGCAAAAGGGGGTGGGGGAAACCACATACATATGTATATTACATATATGTGTCTGTATATACATACATATACATATGTAGGTACATATATATGTGAGAATTTGGTGAGAAATTCTTAGAACTTAATTTGCTAAAATGGGCTCAGATATTTCATTTATAAGAAATGGGAACAGAATGTACAGTCACCCAGACTTAACTAGGTGGTTTGCTAAAATGTTTGAAAAAAAAAAGTTTAACCTTGCAGAATGAATGCCTTGGATGATTTGGCCATGATTATTATTTTTAACAAATGACTCATGACAGTGTTTGCCTCTCCTCTCTCTGCTTCTCACTTTTCTCTAACAGCAAAGATTCTTGTGGGTTTCTTTCTTTCTTTTTTTTTTTCCTCTTTGGGGCTGTCCCAAATTTTCTAACACTGGAAGATTGTTCCTAATGGAAATAAAAATTCCTACCAGAGTTGGTTCCTATGCTGCTGTTAAGAAGAAAACTTGCTCAAGAATCCTGTCAACCTGGTTTTTGGATACCTGGGAATAGATTATTGGAAGGAAGGGGGATGGACCAGGGTTGGAAAGCTGTAAGCTAGAATAGTATCCTTTTCCATATGTCCTCATCAACTTTCTCTTTCAAAGAGAGAGAGGGATAAAAAGAAGACAGTAGGATGGAGGGAAATATTAGCAATCATAATCATGAATGAGAATGAGATGAGCTTACCCATAAAATGGAAACAAATAGCAGAATGGATTAGAAACCAGAATCCCACAACATGTTTTTTTACAATAGACACACTTGAAACAGAAAGACACACACAGAGTTAAAATAAGGGACTGGAGAAGAATCTATTATACTTCAACTAAAGCAAAAAGGGGAGGGATAGCATGATCTCAGACAAAGTCAAAGCAAAAATAGACCTAGTTTGAAGAATAATCAGGGAAATGACATTTTGATAAAAGGTAGCATAGACAATGAAGTAACATTAAAAATTTTTACAGCAAGTTTCTCTGATACAGGCTTCTTTTCTCAAATATATGGGGAACTGAGTCAGATTTATAAAAATAGAAGCCATTCCCTAATTGATAAATTACCAAGGGATATGAATAAGCAGTTTTCAGAAGAAAAAAACAAAGCTATCTATAGCCATACAAAAAAAATGCTCTAAATCACTATTGACTAGAGAAAGGAAAATTAAAACAACTCTGATGTACCACCTCACATCTGTCAGACATGGCAAATGCTGGATGGGATGAGGGAAAATAGATATACTAATGAACTGTTGGTGGAGTTGTGAACTGGTCCAATCATTCTGGAGAACAATTTGAAACTATGACCCCAAAGGCTATAAAACTGTGTGTACCCTTTGACCTAGCAATACCACTACTGGGTTTGTACCCCAAAGAGATAAAAGGAAAAGAATCTACATTACGAAAATATTTATAGCAGCTCTTTTTGTGGTGGTAATGAATTGGAAATTGAGGGAATGCCCATCAATTAAGGAACAGCTGAACAATTTGTGGAACATGATTGCGATGAAATACTATTATGCTATATGATGAGGAGGATGGTTTCAGAAAAAAAACACAGGAAGGCATACATGAACTGACGCAAAGTAAAGTAAGCAGAATCAAGAGAATGTTGTACACAGTTACAGCAATATTGTAATGATAATCAACCATAAATGACTTAGCTACTCTGATCAATACAACGATCCAAGATGATTCCAAAGGACTCATTTTGAAAAATGCTAACCATCTCCAGAGAAAGAACCGATGAACTCTCAATGTGAATTGAAGTTTTCTCACTTTCTTCATTTTTCTTGCTTCTCTCCCTGCCCCCCCCAAATATGGCTAATATGGAAATACGTTTTGCATGATTTCACATGTATAATTGATATCCTATTGCTTGCCTTCTCAGTGGGTGGAGGAGGGGCAGTAAGGAGGGAGAGAATTTGGAACACAAAATTTAAAAAAAAGAATGTTAAAAAATGTATTTTTAAAGTTTCTCTTTTAACATCAGAGGGGCAGATTCTGAAGGAAAGCAGACCTGTTGCATTGATATGCATATTAAAATGTCCTTTCTCTGGTGGTGGACTGAGATCTATTAACATCTTTAAGAACATGTGGTTTGTTACATTCTCTGTCATGCCACTTGTCATCTGCAGGGGAAGGAGAAAGGAAGGGCATGAGCATTTATATAGCACCTACTATGAGCCAGACACTGTGCTAATAAGTGGTTTTTACAAATTTATCTTATTTGGTCTTCATAATGACCCTGGGAAGTAGGTGCTATTACTATTTGCATTTCACAGTAGAAGGAACTGAAGCAAACAGAGGTTTTTTTTTCTTTTAATGTGACTTGCCTTGAGTCACACAGCTAGTAAGTGTCTGAGGCCAGATTTGAACTCCGCTTTTCCTGACTCTGGGCCCACTGTTAATCTTCCCAATACTCTTTGCATTTAGAGGCAGATATGGAATGAAGGGTCAGTTGTGATGCATACTTGCTGGGAGACCTAGAGTAAGTTAATTCACATTTCTAAACTTCACTTTACTTTTCCAGAGAAGAAGGGTGTATAATACTTGCATCACTCACCTCTCAAGGTCTTTCTGAGGAAAGTATTCTGTAAAACTGTCAAGTGCCGTTGGAATATAAGCTACCAGATAAGGAGCTTAGAAGACACATTTCTTCCTGGCCTTGACTATGACTTGCATAGAAGAAGCAAAATCTAAGAATATTGTGGATGAGAGGTGATTGTGTAAACCCAAAGGTCTCTACTATGTAATTATGGTAACGTCATCTCTACTAGTAAAAAAAATAAATGAAAGTCTCCTTTGTTTCTCTGACCCCAAACAATATGGATGCTAGAGGATGTTTAATGGAGAAGGGGTTAAGCATGAATGGGGGTGTATATGTATTCTACTTTTTGCATGCAGGATATGAAAGCTAATCTGATTCATTTATTTTTAGGGGGTCTTGGCTATGGGCCTCAGTGCAAGTCCATTGGAAAAGGCAGCTGCAACAATCTAGTGGTCACCAGCAGTCCCATGATGGTTCAACGGCTGGGACCCATATCACCTCCTGCAAGCCAGGTCTCTACAGCATGCAACCAGATCAGTCCTAGCTTACAGAGGGCAATGAATGCAACCAACATGAATATACCTCCTTCAGATACCAGGTCTTGAGTTATTTATTTGTTTTTCTTTCTCTACAGTATAATGACATATCCCAGGAGTGTTTTCCCTCCATTTTCCCTACACATAAACATGTGCATGCATATAGTCATGCCATTTCAACCGATTTTAAGGGGATAACATGTATGTAGAATATATATTTGGTTCATTAAAATCTTGATTGGAAGGAAGAGTTTTAAAACTTGGAAGCACACTATAGCTAAGTATCACCAAATCACAGAAGAGGAAGGGACCTCAGACACCATCTACTCCCACTCATACCTGGGCAGGAATCCACACTACAACATCTCTAGCAAGTAGCCATCCAGCCTCTATTTGCGTATTGCTAGCAGTGGGAAGTGTAATATGAGTGGAGTTTAGTAAAATTCAGGGAGGAATTTTCAGGTGCCTAGTAGTAGAATCCTGATTTGTAATATTGTCAAGGCTCTGGTATAGAATGCCATAAATATATGAACAGTAATGTGACCAACAGAAATTTGAGATGATGTAAGCACCTACCTTCCCTTCTGAACAGCTATATAATGTGCCTTAGTCATATATATGTGTATATACAACTGCATATATATGCATATGTACATGTCTATATGCATGTTTCTATAGATTTATTTGCAACATGTCCTAGCATAGTGCCCAACACATAATAGGTGTTTAATAAATGTTTGTAACTTTGTCACTTATTCATGCATTCAACAAATATTTTTTCACCACCTATAATCTTTTTAAGCCCTGGTTTCAAGCACCAAGTGGGGGAGAAAAAAAAAAAGGTCCCTGCCATTCAGGAACTTAAAACCTAGCTGGGGAGATAAAACATACAAGTGCAAGGCAGTAATTATGGCCATATCAACATCTCACATTTCTATAACATCTCAAAGTTTATAAAGTATATTCCCCTAGGACTGTGGTTTAAGTATTATGAACTTCACTTAATATGAGTAAATGTCCAATAAATGGTACCAGAAATAAGTTCCATTTTTTTTCTCTCTCTCTACTGGGAGATCCATTGAGTGGGTTGGATAATGGATAATGAAGGGAATGGGTAGCCATCTTCCTCAGTAAAGTGGTTTTAAGGCTCTGAGGCTCAATTTTAGAATGTGCTGCTATGAAATAAAATATATTTATTTCAGTGATTGAAATACATGATTTCTTCTTTCAGGGCCTACCATTTGTAGAAAAAAAGCTTCTCCTCCCCTTTTTCATTCTTTCTGAAAACATTGCATATTTCTTTGTTTCAGGAGTGGATATAAAATCATAGAGTTCCAGAATGGTTATTTTTTTTTTAAGAGCAAAAGAAAAATTCCAGGTTTGATTTTTTTTTTTATGAGATAGAAGCTTGTTTTTTACCTGAGATATTTCATGATAGGAAGCTGCCTGTCATTTCCCTACTGATGGTTTTGCCTCGAGGGATTCCTCCAAATTCCTGAGAACTGCATGTAAAACTAGCTGTGCTCATGGGCTATGTGTCACCAGGAGCCCTTCATATTCCTGTCCATGCCATGTCCAGGTTCAAGCCTTGAAGGCAGAGTCCTCATAATCAATGGAACGTCATGACTGAAGGCATAGAAAATTCATGCCATATAACTCCAGTAGCACCTTTCCCTGTGTCGGCCAAGGATGGGTCATTATTTTCTTGTTTTGGGGTATATTTAATTTCTTAGAACGTCTTTCTATTTTTGAAAGGAAGCACTTTAAAGGTGCATGGAGAAAGTATATGTGTTTGTATGTGTGTATGTATTTTTAACTCTTCATGGAAGAAATCTAGATTGTTTACCCTGCAGTAGGATTCTATTACAGAGGCAACAAAAAAACCCTAGCTGGGAGAGGGCACTTAAAGGATGAGAAACTTAATTTTAAGCCATTTTGGGGGGTTAAAGGCAGATTTACTTGTGCTATTTAAAATTTATGTGCAGATTCTCGTCAAGCAGCTTGAGGGTGGAGAGCTAGTCAGCTCAACTCGAAGATATTTTGGTTTCTAGGGAGAAGTAAAAGATGAAAGGGAAAAAAAGTTACCTTCATGCTTTACCAACCAAGCGCTGCCTGGCAAAAATGAATAAAGAATCAAACAAACAAACCAATAAAAATGAACTTTTTGATGTGAGGTGTGACTGCTTTGCAGAAATACAAAACTTCTGCAACTTATATAGGAAAATCATTCCTTATTCCACTCAGTGAGACTTGTCATCTGAGAGAACAAGAGCCATATTAGAGAGAGAACATAGGACTTTATTCTATAGGACGTTCCAAAAGTCTTTATTTTAAGCTATTAAAATTTAAAATGGCACAAAAACTTTTGGGACACTTCATAAAGTCTCATGAGCATGTCTGCAAATATCATCTAAAAAGGCAAATGAAGTATATCTGAACCCCCTAGTTGTCTATTCACATTGGCAAGTATTTTTCCCTAACTGAGAGAAGCCTGAGATGCTCACAGGGCAACTTGCCATCTTCCTGAATTTAAGACAGTTAGCACTCAGGCAAGAGAAGAATTAAAATGATTCAGTGCATTTATATAGAACTTCTTACCTTTCAAAATATGTTTCCATGCAACATTAGTGTAGATTTTATTATTGTGAAATCCTGTGAGTTATGTAGGATGTTATTATTTTTATGCACATTTTACAGATGATGATGAGCAATTATTGGTAATGCATCCTCTGTCTTTCTCTCCCTCTCTCTCTCTCTCTCTCTCTTTCTCTCTTACTCCTCCCCTCCCTTCTTTTTTCCTTCTTTCCTTCCTCTTTTTTTAACATTCTTTTTTTATATTTTGAGTTCCAAATTCTTCCTCTTCCTCTAGCCTTCCCTGTTCTTATTGAGAAGGCAAGCAATATAATACTCATTATGCATGTGAAATAACTTTTATTTATTTTTCTTTTTTTAACACTCATTTCTTTATTTTTGAATGCGTATTTCTTGAGCACTTCAGATTTCCAAAGTTCTTTCCTTTACATGAATCCTGTGAACCTGGCTATGCTGGTCAGGAGATATGTGACCTTAAGGAAGTCACTCCACATTTTTAAGCCTTGGTTTTCTCATCTGTAAAATGAAAGGATTAGACTAGATGGTCTCCAAGGCCCCTTCTTGATTTTGAGCCTATGATCCATTCTGAGTAGGGCAAATCTCATTTTTCAGATGAAAACTCACCCAGGATCATAGAGCTACCAAGTGAGAGTTCTGGATTTGAACTGAGGTCTCCTGAGGCCAAGTCTAGTGCTTTTTCTTCTGCACCATGGTTAAAAGCCCTGGCCAACGTTATATATAGCAAGAGGCAGAGCCAAGGCAGCGGGCTAATGCAAACCATGCCATGCCAGGACCAAAGGGGCTGTCACAGTTAACTTTCTGCTTGCCTATCTAAGGAACAAATGGCTTCTCTGGTGGGGATCAGTGGAGATTCTGGTTTGCTCTGGAATACATCCAGTAGACAGACTATGGAGTGACCCACAGCGCTATGAGTTTTAGGAGATCTCAGTTTTCTTCTCTGTACAATGTGGGGGCAGGGGTTGGAGTGGTTTGGACTGGAGTTAAGGATACTGTTTCAGCTCTTATATATTATAAAACCATTCTTTGTTAAGAAATTCAGGTAATTCTGGTCTTGGGAGTGGCACAGTCCAATATTCTCTAGTTCCCTGAACCAGGACTCCCAGTACAGTCAAAGACTAGACCAAACCTTCCATGAAAGATATGAACAACCAACCTAGATGCCCAAGGACTAGCTTCAGGGAGTTCAGAAGATCTTTCAGGAAACTATTGGTGAGGAATCTTCTTTAGTCCAATTATTCTGGTCACTGAATTTCTCTCATGTCCTAAAGCTCAAACCCTGTGCACATGTGTGTCATGCCCTGACAAGTGAGGGATTGTTACCTCACCAGCCACAATAGCTTTTCAACCACAAGCTCTGTGCTTTCCTATCCATTTTATTCTATTTGAACCATATCTGCTTTCCTTTTACGTAGATAGACCTCCAAATTGGCCAGCCACCAGAAATAACACCTTTAGGATCAGATGAAAACAAGAACAAGTAGGGTATTATCAACCTATTGATAGAAATGTAGCTCTGCATACTTCACGGCCTCTCCCAGAGTCATTGCCTGTTCAGTAGGACAGATGATTGAATAAAGATGTGTGTAATGCTCCATGGAGAATAATCTAGCCTTTCTCCCCTCCCCTCCCCTCTCCTCCCTACTCTCCTATCCCCCTCCATTCCTTCCCTCTTTCTCTCCGTGGTTCCTTCCCTTCTCTTCCCAGTCCCCCTCCCTCTCTTTCCTTCTTCCCTTCCTCTTCTTTCCTTCTTCCCTTCTTTTCTTCTCTCCTTCCTTCCTTCTCTCTTTTCTTTCCTCCCTTCCTCTCTTTCCTCTTTTCTTTCCTTTCTTTCTTCCCTTTCTTTCTTCCCTCCCTTCTTTCCTCCCTCCCCTCCCACCCTCTCTTCTTCCCTTCCTCCCTCTGTCTTTCCCTCCCTCCCTCCCTTCTTTTTTTTTAGACCTTTGTTATATGTGAAGCTGCATTTGTGAGGCCAAGCATGTTGCATTTCACCTGTTACTCATGTTTCTCCAGTATCCTTAGGGGGTTTGGGGGTAGGAGGAGGTCTCTGTGGGTTATACAAAACCATATAAAATATGGACTCCAGTGGAATGTAAGGAAAAGGGGCTTTTTCATTTTTGCCTTTGTATATCTAGCACCTAGCACAATGCCTGACATATGGTGGATATATATTATTGCTTGATGAGTCGACTTGGATATAGTCTTGAAGAGGTCATAATTCAATTTAATAAGACAGAACACAGGATCATAGCAATCAGAGCTGGAAGGACTTTAGATATTTTCTGGTCCAACTGCCTCATTTTCTAGACTAAGAAACTGAGGTTCCAGGAAAGCAACTGACTTGCCCAAGACCACATAGATGGCAAGTTGTATATGCAAATGATAAATTAAGTGGTAGATAAGAAACAGTACACAAAAGATAGCACTAAGTGGAAAGAGTGGCTGGACATGAAGTCAAGAGGCTTGGGTATATATCCTGGGTCTGGCACAGACTACCTGTGTGATCTAGCTATTCACTTTGCCTCTCTCAGCTTCAAGCATCTTCGTTTATAAAATAGAGACAATAATATCTATACTGTCCACTTCAGAGTCATTCTAAGGGAAGGTCCTGAGTGTATAAGCAGGAGTTGTTTTATTTAGGCTAAATAAATGACATAGACAATACGTACCATGAGAACTCATAGGAACTGAATCCCTTAGGGCTTACATAGCTGGAAAAATCTTCACCAAGGAGTGAATCTAGAAAAATCATAGGATTCTAGGCCTCTGGGCTAGAATGTTTGAGATGATCTAGTCTAGTACCTACTTATGACAAAGGTTTGGATAGACAGGGAAGAGAGGAAGGCAATTGTTACAAGCATAGCATTGTAAGCATTATGAGTCATTAGAAACATAGGGAATAAATAGTTTCATGTTGCAGCAGGAGGAATATAATTTCTGTATCTTTGGAGGGAAATTTTTTATTACAATCATATTACAAAAATAAAATTGATTGATAAGCAAACATTTATTAAGTACTTACTATGTGCCAGGCACTACGTTAAAAAAAAAAAGTTAAAAAGATGCAGTCCAAGGCATGTAGAGTCTTTGGATGATCAAGTATATCAGAACAGGGAATATGAAAGGGGAAGGAAACAGACTCTTATTAGATACATACCAGGCACTGTGCTTAGTTCTCTCATTTGTTAGGAGTTCACCTCTGTGTGGCTACATGGTGTGGTAAAGTGCTAGACAACTGAAATCAGGAGACTTGGTTCAAATCCAGCCTTTGACACTAGTTCTGTGTTATGAATATAGGCAAGTCATTGAACCTTTTCAGAATATCTATTTCCTCATCTGTAAAGAAGGGTATAATACATGCAGTGCCTATCTCCTAGGGTTTTTGTGAGGAAAGCAATTTGTTAACCTTAGAGTGTTATAGAAATGTAAGTTATTATTATTTAATCAGGGTTAGAACTAGCCATAAGTTGTGAATAATTTGAGGGAGAGGACATAAATTCTTCAGCTTTGGAGAGGATAAACCAGATTGCTATTGAAAATTCTTTCTGACCTCACACATAGGTTTCTCATAAGCAAGCAGGTGAAGAGGAGGAATGAAATGCTTTTTAGATACAATTCCTGCTTTTAAAATAAGAAACACACCAGTATTGCTGGATCCAGCATATATATCCTTCACTCAACAAGGATCACTGAGCTCAGTCAGTAAAACCTTGATGCTTTATTTTCTAAAGTCCCTCCCAAGTTATTGGGTGAGAATCAGGAACTATCACTTCTTACTTAAAATGACATCTACAGCATTCAGTGAATCAGAGATAACACTGTTCCATTGCATTGTTGGGGAGGGGCTTGGGAGGCTAGCGGCATGGAGAAAAACTCTCTAACCATAAGATTAGGAGACCTATCCTGGGTCACTCCCAGAACCCATTGTGGGGGGCACAATGATGGCCATTCCTCAAAAATCTGAAAAAAACAAAACAAAACAAAACAAAAAACTGTAGAACTGGGCATCAAAATCCAGGCTGATAGTGCCTTCACCCTCTCTTTGGGTGTTACCTGAGTGAATTTCAGAAATATGAGGGTGTGTGTGAACAAGTCAGATTATGTCAAGGACAGTTACTTGCACTCTCACCATTAACGTCATTGGCAAACATTACTTCATTCTCTGGGAAAAGCTCATTGATTCTGTTTGATCACCTTATGTGGAGAACCTGGAAAGTGAAATGTTTAATGTTTGGATATAGAAAATGTTATCTTTGGATCCACTTTCAGGGGGGAGAAGGGAGATAGGAACCTTGGATGATACATTCTGCTCTTCATTCCATTTCTTTCTTTTTTCTTTTTGTTTTGTTTTTGGTGAGGCAATTGGGGTTAAGTGACTTGCCCAGAGTCACACCTAGTAAGTGTTATGTATGTGAGGCTGAATTTGAACTCAGGTCCTCCTGACTCTAGGACTGGGGCTCTTTCCACTGTGCCACCTAACTGCCCCCATTCCATTTCTTTTGTAATGGTTTGCTCTTCTCTAGCAGAAATAATTATGGTATTCAGTCTTAGAATCCTTATGAGGATTTAGACAACTTTGATTTAAGATTTTTTTTAGATCCAAAACAAATCAACAAGGATGACCATACTCAATAAGATGTCAATGCAAGTACAGATAAAGGCAGCCCAGTTTTCTAGACCCATCTAGTATTTGTGCAGTGGGGTAAAGGGAGGCATATAAATTCTTGTGTTAGGATACAGTTGCCGTTTCTAACACATTTGTTTCTGTAATTACTTTTGCACATATGTGAAGGAAACAGCTTAATCACAGAACAGGATGAAGTTTTTAAGTGGCTAAAGCAGGAATAGAAACCATTTGTGTTAGATTCATGAATGTCAGAGCTGAAAAGGACCTTAGTGATCTTCAACCCAAGTTCAGCAAGTGATATTACTAGATAAAAGGTCCTGATACATCATAAAAGCTGGAATTGGGATGGGGCTTTTAAATTTTTCTTTCTCCTCAGTTATATTTGTGCCTGAAATTATGAGAAGTTAAATTCTTTATAGGATGAGCCTTTTCAAGGTTAATAATAGTAATGATAGTAATAAAATAACTCACATTTTTATAGCACTCTCAAGGTTTGCAAAGTGCTTTATATATGTTCCTTTGCTTGATCCACTCACTAACTCTTTTAAGGTAGGCAATAAATGAATTTTAACCCTCATTTGATAGATTAGGGGACTTAGATTCTCAGAAGTTAAGTGACTTTCCATAGGCACACAGTAATTAAATGTCTGAGGCAGGATTTGAACTCAGGTTTGCTCTTGATTCCAATGCCATGCTACATTTCAGGGGTATGAGATGGATCTGTATTCCTAATTGACTCTGGGGTTATCAGTTGCTGAACTTGCTATTTTTTTTTTTGTTTCTTTGATGTTCCTATGATACTTTACGGTATGAAGGACAAAGATTTCCAGGAGTCATGAAATAACATTGTTACCTATGCGTGGTGCTCACATATCTGTTGGCTGATCTGTAACAAGTAGTTCCTTTGAATCCATCCATTCCACAAAATATTAGGCACCTTTTGTGTACAATGCATTGTTGCTGGGCAGTGGCCCGAAGAGAAAAATAATTTAGATGTATTTCTTGCCTTCATGGATTTTACTGTTGAAATGGCGACACCTATAGCACTCATTACTTCTCCTATTGGCAGTAATACATATTCGCTTCTTATTTGACCTCACCCTGCTTTCCACGTCATTGCCAAAAATTCACATTCCTAAATTCTTCATTTTAGATTTACACATTGAGCCTTGAACACACCTTGTTCTTATAGTAAATGAATTTCAGCATCTGAGGGAATCTTAGATGTCATCTAGTTTAGTTAGAAATCTCTTGTTTTACATGCTTGATAGATGGTTATACATCCTCTGCTTGAACACCTTCAATGATGGGAAACCCAATATTTCACAAGGTAACCACCCCATTGCAATTTTTGAATAGCATTAATTTATAGAGAGCTTTTTCCTCATATGGAGTTGAATTTTTTTTTTTTTTTGTGAGGCATTCGGGTGTTAAGTAACTTTCCAAGGGTCATACAGCTAGTAAGTGTTAAGTGTCTGAGGTCAGATTTGAACTCAGATCCTCCTGACTCCAGGGCCAGTGCTCTATCCATTATGCCAACTAGCTGTCCCCTGGAGTTTAATTCTTCCTCTCTATAACTTCTACCCTTTGGTCCTTTTATTTTCTTATCTCTGCACTTTGGGTCATGGCATTCCATATGCCTAAAATTTTCTTCTCTCCAACCAAATACTCCTCCTCCTTAAGTCTTGCAACTTAAAATCTCATTTCCTCTGTAAAACTTTTCCTGATTATCCCTATTTAAATTGTCACCTATCTCCATACTCAGAAATCCTGAAATGATTAATTGTATTACAATTTGTTTATCAATTAATCATATACTGCCTTGTGGACATTTCTTACTTATGTGGTTGTCTTGAAATATTATCCAAATCCCTCATTTCTTTGAAGCATTCAGAAGGGATAGAAATAAGAAAAGCAAAGAAGAAAACATTTTTACATGTTTATGTCTTGTTCTCTTGACTATACAATAAACTCCATGATAGAATCTTTTTTGGGGGGGGGGAGTGGTGGGAAGTGGGAGAGTATTATCTATAACATCTAGTATAATACTTTGTGCATAGATGGCACTGGTTGGTTTGATTTGGTGTATAAGAAGTGAATAAATTGTTCCTAGGTCTCTTGATTAACCTCCTATAAAAAATTTAGCTTTCTTTTTTTCTTGTGTTTCTCTTTCCTTCTTCCTTCCATCCTGAATGCTTCAAAAAATAAAAACAAACCAAGATGTACTTATTAGTTAGTTCTGAGTATCAAAGTTATTTATAAGAACATATTTTTTATCTTTCCTGTGAACATCAACCTTTATAGTTCTTCACAGTAAATGTCAGTAATATAGAAGAAAAAGGTTTAGATCTAATTATAGCTCTGATTTGGGGCTATTTATTTGAGTACATGATTAGGAGAAAGACATAGATGTTTGCTAATATTCTTTTAATTCTTTGGAAATCAAGATTCTACTAAAACATTTGTTTTTGTTTTGTTTTGTTTTTGTCTTGGTCATTCTAGGTCTCTTATGTCACGGGAGTCTTTGGCATCCACGACTTTGAGTCTGTCAGAAAGTCAGTCAGCCTTGAGTGTGAAGCAAGAGTGGTCTCATGGCTACAGGACTCTTCCTTCCCTTCCTTCCAACTCAGGCTCTCAGAATGGCAGTGATCTAGGAGACTTACTTAGCATCCCACCTGGGACACCTGTGTCCAACAGTAGTGTCTCCAATTCATTGCCCTCCTATCTTTTTGGCATGGAAAACAGTCACTCCCCTTACCCTAGCTCCAGACACTCTTCAACCAGGTCTCACTCAGCCCGTTCTAAGAAGAGAGCTCTTTCCCTTTCCCCTTTGTCTGATGGCATTGGCATTGACTTCAACACCATCATCCGGACCTCCCCAACATCCTTAGTTGCCTATATCAATGGTTCCCGGGCATCACCTGCCAATATCTCCCCACAACCAGAGGTCTACGGACATTTCCTAGGAGTGAGGGGTAGCTGTATTCCACAGTCATGTTCTATCCCAAGCTCTCAACGAAGTCTTCTGGTGACCAGTGGCAGTCTTACAATCCCTGCTTACAATGAGAATGGGGTGGTAGAATACCAGCGCATGCAGCAGCTAGAGCAGAGCAGCTTACAGTCAGCAATTATGAACAACATGGTGGTACAGCAGGGTCTACCTGCTTCAGACAGCCAGCCAGCTGGTTTATTAAAAAGTGAACGATTGGATGAATTCCCAGGTGGTGCCATTGATATTCCTCCTCCTCCCCCACCTCCTCCTTTGCCACCACCACCACCACCACCACCACAAGGGCCCCCACCCCCTTACCATGCCCATCAGCACCTTCACCAGCCTGAGCTTCTTCACCATCCCCACCCACTTCCTTTGCCCCCTTCTGCCCAAGGTCCCCAGCAGGAGGAGGATGGAGAATTAGATGATTTTAACGGAAAACACTGCTGTCGCTGGATTGACTGCAGTGCCACATATGACCAACAGGAGGAGCTTGTACGGCACATAGAGAAAGTTCACATAGACCAGAGGAAAGGAGAGGACTTTACTTGTTTTTGGGCAGGCTGCCCTAGAAGATACAAGCCATTCAATGCCCGATACAAACTGTTGATCCACATGAGAGTCCACTCAGGAGAGAAGCCAAACAAGTGTACGGTGAGTCTTAAAAGCCCAAGCTTTAATGTGCTAAAGGCAAAGCCTGTTTTTGTGTGCTTTTGGATGCATTCATTTATTTCTTTAATTGCATATTTTATTTTCCCCAAACAATAACTTCTATTTTTGCTTTTTAAAAAATGTCAAAATCATTTTCCAATATATTCTTTAGTTGAATCCTGCTTTTTAAAAGAGAAAAATTTGAGTAAGACTTAATCAGAAGATTAATCATTTTTGAAAGTATTTATGTCATTATCCATGATGATCACCTCATCTGCACTGAAAACAGGCTGTTGTATATATTCCTCTTTTCTCTGGGATCCAGATTGGTCATTGCATTTCTGAATTCAATAGCATTTTAGTGTTGTTTTCATCTCCATTATTTTAGTCACTGTGTATGTTGTTTTCTTGGTTCCACTCTCTTCCCCCTGAATCAGTTCATAAAAGTATTCTTGTGCTTTTCTAAATTCCTTATATTTATTATTTCTTGTGGTGCAGCAATATCCTATTATTATGTCTTTATTTGTTCAGCTATTCAGTTGATGAGTACTTATACTATTTCTAGGGCTTTTTTCCCTATTATATATATTTTATTGTATGAAGGTCTGATATTTCTTTTTGTCCTTGGCCTCCTTTGGATATGTATAAGTTTGCATGCATATGTGTGTGCACACACATATCCATACACACACACGGAATATACACACACACAAATATCTCAATGACACCACCTGAGAACCAAGTATTTGTATATAAGTAGAAATATACATATTACATATGTATATAATATACACATACACACGTGTACCAAGCATTTGCAAATAGATATTTAGATAGATACTTCCCAGTGGTGATACATACGTGTGTATGTATGTATGTGTTTATAGATATAAATATAGATATATGTTCAGCGGGATGTCAAAGCTTAATTTTGTAGGAAGTCCAAGATATCATTTTCCCAAACACAGATTGCAGGTATAGATAGATCATCTTGACCTTTGCATGTTAGGTGAAGAATAAATATGCCCATTTCAGAAAATAACAGATGAAGAAGGGAGTAGCATATACTTGTTGAGTAAAATATTTCCTGTGCATTCTTAAGATGTTGGTGTTTAGCCAAGTAACAGGATGTTTCTTTAGTTTATGCAGGCTTCCTAGAATCATCCACCCTGTGATACTAACTAATTAAGTACTTCATGGTTAAGGGAAATACTCAAGCATTGGTACTGTTCTTTCTCTAGACCAAAGGAATCAAAGTTGATCAGATACATAAAAACGTGGGGTTTTTCACCTATTTATGGATATGACTGATCTGGGGAATATACACACCACCAACAACCAACATTTAGACCTCATCCAAAGCAAGTATTCTAAGCATTTCTTCCTCCCTGCCCCCATTCCTCATAGGAAGTGAAAAATAATGGAATTTGAGGTGGGGGAAAGTTTGGAAAAGAACTTACCATTAAGCAGCTTTGCTAGTAAAAAAAAAAAAAAAAACTGTGCTTCATATGCCCTCATAGGAACTCATGCCATTTTGCTGAAGTGGGTAAATAAGTTAGAATGACTGATAACTATAGGCAAAATGTGCAGGACTTAAAGTGAGCAGACTTGTACAGGCACAAACCTCATTTCAGGGCAAGGGCATTTAGGGAAGAGGTACAAGGAGAAGAAACTGAGAAAGTTCTACTCCCTCAGTACTTGAGAAGAACAGTTTGGATGCTGAGTTATTTTCCTTTCTTTCTTTCACAGTGTAAGCCCTGAAAATATTTTTGCTTTTCATCTAAATACTTATTTCTTAAAATAAGTGATTCCCCATTGATCTCACACCTAGCAGATAATCTGAGAATATATAGAAGACATAGAAAGGCAACATGGCATAGGGGAGAGAGGACTGGATATGGATCCAGAAGTGGGTGGTGATTGTTCAGTCATTCAGTCATTTCTGACTCTTCCTGACCCCATGGAGTTTTTTTTTGTCAAGATATTGGAAAGGTTTGCCATTTCCTTTTCCAGCAGGTCAAATTAAGTAGAGGTTAATAACTTGCCCAGGGTTACACAGCTAGTAGATGTTTGAGGGCAAATCTGAGCTCAACTCTTCCTGACTCCAGGTCCAGTACTCTATCTAGTGAGCCATCTAGCTACCAGAAGACCTGGACTCAAATCCCTCCTGTCTTGCTTAGTCCCTATGTAACCTTGGCTAAGTAATTTTACCTCTTGGTGCCTCAATTTCCTCTTTTTACAAATAAGGATTTTGAACTAAGATTCCTTCTGGCTCTAAATCGATCATCCTATATAGTGAAAAAAGCTGTAATAATAACCTGAAATCAGTTGACGTCTGTTTTGTTTGTTCATAACCTTAATGGAGGATATCTGAAACATGATAGTCTTGGCAACTGCAGGAAAGATTTGCACTGTCTCAGACAGCTTATTTTAACAGTTATTATTAGTGTGGATGAAAAAAAATTTCTTTAGAGTTAAAAAAGTGGGAATTCCAGGAATTCCCTGCACATTGGCGATACTGTAGGTTGTCATGTGTCTGAAATATAAATCTCTTGGAAAGGGTGCTGACTTGAACTGTGATTCTCCCCTCCCAGCCTCCTCTCCCTTTCTTGGCAGGTCCTGATAATAAAGAATCTCTACCATATGCTTATGTTTGATTGTCAACATGATATGCTGAGTTGTCCTCAATTAATGTTATGAGCAAACAAAACAGGTGTCAACTGATTTCAGGTTATTATTACAGGCAGCTTTTTTTTTAAACTATATAGTAGTTATTTTTAAAACAATCTTTAAAAATTATTTGGATGAAATAAAGATTAAATTGCATTTGTGTATGTGTTTGTGTGAAACATCATGTTGTGATTCTTTTTTTTTTCCTTTTTTTGGTGAGGTAATTGGAGTTAAGTGACTTGCCCAGGGTCACACAGCTAATAAGTGTCAAGTGTTTGGTCTGAGGTCATATTTGAACTCAGGTCCTCCTGACTCCAGGGCCAGTGCTCTATCCACTGCACCATCTAGCTGCCCCCATGTTGTTATTCTTAAGGTGAAGCCTGAAACTGATATATTGAGAGAATGCTGGCTTATACTAATCAGGAGAATAAGAACATTTCAGCCAGCTAAACCTTACTCTGTCAGTGGCATTCTACATTACATGTATCAGAGAGGGAACAACAATTGTAGGCAATAATATTTACAGTTCAGAGCATGCTGGTGTGTTCCAGCTGTATTCCAGTCAGGAAAAACCTTCAGGCTTTAAAAGAAAACAGTTCAACCTTTAGTTCTGACTAAGCTTGGGTGAAAATAGTTCATTGGATTCGGCTTGATGAAAATAAGTAAATAAATCATGATTTTTTGGGAAATATATATTGCAAAATGGATTCTCCAGAAGTATTTCTTCAATTTTCTATTATTCAGTGACTTTCCTAATCATTGTTTACGAGAGTTTGCGAATGTACAAATCTTTTTTGGAATAAGGTCAACTATTGTCAAACTCCAAAATTCCAATTAAAAATAGAAATACTTCAGTGAAAGAGAAAACCAAAAGGTGAATTTTTCAGGCTGGTGTTGAGTTTTTTCACTGTTTCAGTTAGGATGAGCATCAGAGTTGTATTTCTGCCTTCTACCTTATCCTTATCAACCACCACTTTCTATTCTAAGGTAGATTATTACATGTGAGTCTGTTTTTCTTGATATATTTAATAGAATCACTATTGAACTATTAAAACCTGGAAGTCCAAAGCATTGATATGTTTTTTTTTCCTTTTCTTGGAAATGCTTTTAACAGCCTTCCTATCTTACATGGCATTTGGTACCTGTCTCGGGCTCTGATTCCATTCTGTTGTATTCTATACTTATTGTAGAATATTATACAGCATTAATATTTGTGTGGGGGTCATGTCTCTTTTACTACATTGAAGGTGCTATGAGGGCAGGGCCCAATCTTGATGATGCTGCCAAATAGCACAGTGTTTTGTACATCATAGGTGCTTAATAAATAGCTGATAAATGAACGAATGAATGGACATTGCATCTGTATCCATTTACATCTGAATGTTTCTTAGAAGTTGCATTTCTAGTTTTAGGATTCTATTTCTTGGTAAGCCACACATTCTCCCATAAACTATATGAATGAGTCATAGTTATCATGTCTTCTGAAAACCAATCTGTATGTTGCCAGACAATTTCTGATTGTTGTTTGGGAGTACTGTCAACTTCAAGCAAGATTATTGTGTAATAAAGGTTTAGCAATGTTCTCAACCGATGATGGAGGAAGAGCTCCCTGCCACTGCAAATATTGGATAGGCACCCAAGAAAATGTATATGTACCTATCGCAAACAACATATTTCTCATTCTACGAACATTAGCTTTTTGAAGCCAGATGCAAGTAATTGCGAAGACTACAGTATTTTATCTCTCTACACTTGAAAAAAAATCTAGTGGCAGCAGATTTGGAGTTTCAGAATTAGTGCCAAATAAAATGACCACATTTCTCTTTTGGAAACATGAAATGATCTTTTGGTTTCTGTGGCTGCATCACATGGTGGCAGTGTAAGGAACGTGCTATTTTAAAACAGTTCGTATTTTTTTTTTCTTCATGATTGTTTAACTGTGATTAATCTGGTGTGTACAATTTTTGGAGCTAGTCATCATTTTCACTCACTTAGCTTATTGACCCAAGCAGATATGATGGCCCAATTGTGCCTAATCACCATGACTACAAGCAACACGGCGATTTTGAAAGGCACAGAGAAAAAAAAAAAGGACTATATGAAAGGCCCGCCCACTGACAGCATGCTTGCTGTAAGAGGCTACTGCCAGTGAGGTCAGTGCCAAGTTCAGTCTGGGTGCATAAAACAATTCTCTTGAACAAGCATTATTAAAGCATTTGCTCCATGCAAGCAACTGTGTCAAGCAGTGGGTAGCAAGGATGGAAAGTGACCCAGCCCCTGTCGTTAAGAAGTTTGCAATCCAGTAGGGGGGATAAGATAGCAGCTAGGTGGTT